GTGTGTGTTGTGTGTGTGTGTCATCTGGGAATGCGCTGTGGAAATGTGTGTGCTGTGTGTGTGGGTGTGTGTGTGTGTGTGTGGTGTGTGTGTGTGTGTGTGTGTGTGTGTGTGTGGTGTGTGTGTGTTGTGTAGTGTGTGTTGTGTGTGTGTGTGTGTGTGTGTGTTGTGTGTGTGGTGTGTGTGTGTGTGTGTTGTGTGTGTGTGTGTGTGTGTGTGTGTGTGTGTGTGTGTCTGTGTGTTGTGTGTGTGTGTGTGTGTGTGTGTGTGGGGTGTGTGTGTGTGTGTGGGTGTGTGTGTGTGTGTGTGTGTGTGCGTGTTGTGTGTGTGTGTGTGTGTGTGTGTGTGTTGTGTGTGTGTGTGTGTGTGTGTTGTGTGTGGTGTGTGTGTGTGTGTGTGTGTGTGTGTGTGTGTGTTACTGTTGACAATTCGAAAATGGACTCATTCAGAGTTTAAGTTACATAGTGGGCATTCGGATTTTAGAAAAGCTCAGGTGGGGCATGGCACACAAAAAATGGTGTGAAACACTGATATGTGCAGTCCTGTAGCTGTTTGCTTTCATTGCAAAATAGGCAAAGAGCAGCTCATTGATGGATCACTTCTCCCACCTCATGTGCACTTGTTTCCATAGCGAGGCACATACGCCATTTGTAGGTAAAATGTTCGATTCCCAGCACGATAACTATAATTCCCAATTTTTGTCTTCTACAGTGTGTCCTTCTATCTTACTACTATTTTCTATGAGTGCCAATCAACAGGTTGTCTGTTTCTAAATTTTTTATATAATGTGATTACAACACAGACCATCAAAAATGACCAAACACTAATATATATTCCGACTCTTTACTAACTTCCAATAATGAAAATGAACAACTGGCGACAGTAACATATATTTTATCATATGTCAAAGGACTATGAGGATGATAACAAACTGCTCTCATTGCTCTGAATCAGCCCTAATATTTAATGGGCGAACACATGTTATCAAACTTCCCACAAGTCACACATACTGTAAAGTCTATCGTTAATGACTTGGCGGTATAAATCCCCTTTTGTGCTTAAACATACTCATGCATCATATAGACACACGGGCCTTTGTTCTCTATTCTCATGAGAGAAACATTTAGCTCCCCTTCCTACCCCCACCCTCTCCCACCCCTGTGCTCACAAAGCAACTAAGACACCAAATAGCTTGCAATGATCTCTTTTTTTTTTTTTCTGATACACTATGCAAAATCCACCACCCCTCCCCAACAGAAACATATCAAGAAAACCTGGAACCGATTTTGATCTTCACAGTTCTGTTGACTGACAAGATTTACGGTTCTATCTAATTAAATTTCAGTGTTGAAGAGGAACACCGTGTCATATGTGTGTCTGAGCTCCGGAACTTCAGTCATCTGTGTGTCTAAGTTCCGGATCTTCAGTCAGCTATGAACGACTGAATTCAGGAATGAAGAATCCAAAAGTTGACATTCATACACTCAGGATATGTCCATGTATTCTTCGTTGCCTTTCTCAGAAGCCAAGAGTTGCCCTACGGATCGTGCCAGTTGCCACCAGAATACAACTGGTTTACCTCTGTTTGTTCCTATGCCCATAGAAATGGTCTACACGCTCTGCCGACGACCCCGCTCACCTGCGGATCGGAAGGTCTTGGGTTCAGAACTTGAAGAAGCCGGACTTTTTTTTCAAAAATGACCTTGGCTCTCAACCTCAAATGGGTACCACGTAAATCTTGGGAAGTAAAGGCGACCGGTGTGATGTTGGCCACATCATTCACATAGTTCCGATTGGTCTTAAATGTTATAGTATGAGCATGTTATGTTACATTATGTGTATATATCATCACAGTCGAAGTCAGTGCACATTGAGCATTCCCATGCCTGCTCAGTCCTCCGATGCGGCAGCCACACCTGGATACTTCTACTGACTGTTCCCATGAGTAGCTGGTCACGTCTCTGATGTTGACCTCGAAGACGGTACTGAAATGTTTCACCAGAGTTTCCGCGTAGACTTGAGAAGAAATGGAGGTTCAATGCTGTCTTGCCACCGTTTCCAAACGCTAACTGCCATTATATTTACAAAATAAAGCAGAGACCTTAAACCAGATTGGCCCACCCTCTGAGGTTGTCTAGGAGAATAATGCGCCGAAACAATCGTTGACGAGGGACCCTTGATCGGTCAATCCTGCTGTGCATGTTCCCGCCGTGGAATTCCTCTTATTATTATACGAAACGTACAGAGGTTGTAAATTAATATGTCAAAGTTCTTACCATTATCACCAATAATGTTGTTAAAAAATAGAAAACAAACACACTAGGGCTAAATAGGTCTGTTAGAACCTTTTATATTTGAACGACAGTGCATAACTGTGTATAGAGAACAATAGGTCAAGAAAGACTCTAATATACTTATTAAAATATAAAAATATTTTTAGCATATGTCGTCACATGGACATAAATGAAACCTAGCCAGGCTTCCGGGAGGTTCATATCCTCTTCACTGGCTCTGTCTGTATGTGTATCCAATCATCCATCTGTACAGCTCTGTCTGTATGTTCAACCAATCATCCATCTGTACAGTCTCTGTGCAGGACAGCTGTATTTCTGTATTGTGTCTGTATTTTCTTTTCGGTTTTCTATTCCAGACTGTCATCTGATCATTTGATCAACCCTGCGACTTCAATACCGCGAAGTACCTCAGCAACCAGGCTAAACTCAAACAACAAATTTAACCTCAAGAAAGTTTAATTAAGATAGACGTGCCGACTACTCCATGCGGTTTATCTTTCTGCGGGCCAGTGAAATACTCTTTGCTGATCATAACACAAGATAAAGTTTTCTTCCTTTTTTTGTGTCAGCTGCTTGTGATGTTGCTGTTGTTGTTGCACTTATATTTTCCCATGTCGCGTTGTGATTTACAGGCTTGTGTTACACGTATCTTGCGCCTAGGACATCACAGTCTGGAAATTTGTCCTAATCCCTGTAGAACTAGAACATCACTGTCTGGGAATTTGTCCTAATCCCTGTAGAACTAGAAGATCACTGTCTCGGAATTTTTCCTAATCCCTGTAGAACTAGAACATCACTGTCTGGGAATTTGTCCTAATCCCTGTAGAACTAGAACATCACTGTCTGGGAATTTGTCCTAATCCCTGTAGAACTAGAAGATCACTGTCTCGGAATTTGTCCTAATCCCTGTAGAACTAGAACATCACTGTCTGGGAATTTGTCCTAATCCCTGTAGAACTAGAACATCACTGTCTGGGAATTTGTCCTAATCCCTGTAGAACTAGAAGATCACTGTCTGGGAATTTGTCCTAATCCCTGTAGAACTAGAAGATCACTGTCTCGGAATTTGTCCTAATCCCTGTAGAACTAGAACATCACTGTCTGGGAATTTGTCCTAATCCCTGTAGAACTAGAACATCACTGTCTGGGAATTTGTCCTAATCCCTGTAGAACTAGAACACCACTGTCTGGGAATTTGTCCTAATCCCTGTAGAACTAGAAGATCTTTGTCTGGGAATTTGTCCTAATCCCTGTAGAACTAGAAGATCTTTGTCTGGGAATTTGTCCTAATCCCTGTAGAACTAGAAGATCTTTGTCTGGGAATTTGTCCTAATCCCTGTAGAACTAGAAGATCTTTGTCTGGGAATTTGTCCTAATCCCTGTAGAACTAGAAGATCACTGTCTCGGAATTTGTCCTAATCCCTGTAGAACTAGAACATCACTGTCTGGGAATTTGTCCTAATACCTGTAGAACTAGAACACCACTGTCTGGGAATTTGTCCTAATCCCTGTAGAACTAGAAGATCTTTGTCTGGGAATTTGTCCTAATCCCTGTAGAACTAGAAGATCACTGTCTCGGAATTTGTCCTAATCCCTGTAGAACTAGAACATCACTGTCTGGGAATTTGTCCTAATACCTGTAGAACTAGAAGATCTTTGTCTGGGAATTTGTCCTAATCCCTGTAGAACTAGAAGATCTTTGTCTGGGAATGTGTCCTAATCCCTGTAGAACTAGAAGATCACTGTCTGGGAATTTGTCCTAATCCCTGTAGAACTAGAAGATCTTTGTCTGGGAATTTGTCCTAATCCCTGTAGAACTAGAAGATCTTTGTCTGGGAATTCGTCCTAATCTCCATAAAACTAGAACATCACTGTCTGGGAATTTGTCCTAATCCCTGTAGAACTAGAAGATCACTGTCTCGGAATTTGTCCTAATCCCTGTAGAACTAGAACACCACTGTCTGGGAATTTGTCCTAATCCCTGTAGAACTAGAAGATCTTTGTCTGGGAATTTGTCCTAATCCCTGTAGAACTAGAAGATCACTGTCTCGGAATTTGTCCTAATCCCTGTAGAACTAGAACATCACTGTCTGGGAATTTGTCCTAATACCTGTAGAACTAGAAGATCTTTGTCTGGGAATTTGTCCTAATCCCTGTAGAACTAGAAGATCTTTGTCTGGGAATTTGTCCTAATCCCTGTAGAACTAGAAGATCACTGTCTGGGAATTTGTCCTAATCCCTGTAGAACTAGAAGATCTTTGTCTGGGAATTCGTCCTAATCCCTGTAGAACTAGAAGATCTTTGTCTGGGAATTTGTCCTAATCCCTGTAGAACTAGAAGATCACTGTCTGGGAATTTGTCCTAATCCCTGTAGAACTAGAAGATCTTTGTCTGGGAATTCGTCCTAATCCCCATTGAAGTGCAGGCTGAACCTGGCTGTTGTAACAGGTACTGGTGTCCTATATCAGGATGGGATGGTAAATCTTTAGGTAAAAGCCTGGAAGGGGCATCTTCTTCTTCTTTTTTACGTCCTCTTCTACCGCTTTGGGAGTCGAGGAAGATAAAAGATCCTGCTTTGTGCTGTTCTGGCTGCTTTGGCCATAGTCACATTGTGGTGCTGTAGAGTTTCTCTGATGCTATCGTCTTGTTCTCGGTCTACGTCTTGATCTGCGTCCCTCTCCTCTTTTCTTGTAGTTTTTGCCTTGTATGTTAGTCTCAGAAGGCATTCTCTCTATGCAAACGCCACTCTGCCCAGTATGTGACAACCACGGGGATGCCACTCCCCCCAAATGTGACAACCACGGAGATGTCACTCCCCCATTATGTGACAACCACCGGGATGCCACTTCGCCATATGTGACAACCAAGGGGATGCCACTTCCCCTATGTGTGACAACTAAGGAGATGCCACTTCCCCTATATGTGACAACTAAGGAGATGCCACTCCCCCTATATGTGACAACTAAGGAGATGCCACTTCCCCTATATGTGACAACTAAGGAGATGCCACTTCCCCTATATGTGACAACTAAGGAGATGCCACTCCCCCAAATGTGACAACTAAGGAGATGCCACTCCCCCTATATGTGACGACTAAGGAGATGCCACTCCCCCTATATGTGACAACTAAGGAGATGCCACTCCCCCTATATGTGACAACTAAGGAGATGCCACTCCCCCTATATGTGACAACTAAGGGGATGCCACTCCCCCTATATGTGACAACCAATGGGATGCCACTCCCACTATATGTGACAATTAAGGGGATGCCACTTCCCCTATATGTGACAACCAAGGGGATGCCACTTCCCCTATATGTGACAACCAAGGGGATGCCACTCCCCCTATATGTGACAACTAAGGGGATTCCACTCCCCCTATATGTGACAACTAAGGGGATGCCACTCCCCATATATGTGACAACTAAGGGGATTCCATTCCCCCTATATGTGACAACTAAGGAGATGCCACTCCCCCTATATGTGACAACTAAGGAGATGCCACTCCCCCTATATGTGACAACTAAGGAGATGCCACTCCCCCTATATGTGACAACCAAGGGGATGCCACTCCCTATATATGTGACAACTAAGGAGATGCCACTCCCCCTATATGTGACAACTAAGGAGATGCCACTCCCCCTATATGTGACAACTAAGGGGATTCCACTCCCCCTATATGTGACAACTAAGGGGATGCCACTTCCCCTATATGTGACAACTAAGGAGATGCCACTTCCCCTATATGTGACAACTAAGGAGATGCCACTCCTCCTATATGTGACAACTAAGGAGATGCCACTCCCCCTATATGTGACAACTAAGGGGATTTCACTCTCCCTATATGTGACAACTAAGGGGATGCCACTTCCCCTATATGTGACAACTAGGGAGATGCCACTCCCCCTAAATGTGACAACTAAGGAGATGCCACTCCCCCTATATGTGACAACTAAGGAGATGCCACTCCCCCTATATGTGACAACTAAGGAGATGCCACTCCCCCTATATGTGACAACCTAGGTAATTCTACTGCCCAGAAAGATATCTAATGATATCTTGCATTGGTGTGAGCACCATGACATTCTTCTATAGCATTTACAATCACAGTTTGAATCTGGTGTCATTTGTTCAATGTGTAAAAAGTATTATAACGTAGAGAAATAAGTGTTATGGTGAACACTGACATAAAATACGTGTTGAGATAATACAAATAACCAAAGCTGCATCACAGTGGGATTCGATATATCCAGTTTCGTCCTTTTTAGGATGAATTTTGTTATTATTTGAAGCCCCACCCTGGCTTTTGCCAGGGGCCGCAATATTGGCAGGCCATAAATTTGGCCAATTGTCTGAACGCGGTTTCTGGGACCTCTCCACTGCGATCCTCATCCACATGGTGGCACTTTGAGTCATCGGGTGTTTAAAAACCCCTAGTGGGGTAGAAAGTCAGTCAGTGGGATTCGAGCAGTCAAAGTGTTATCTGAAAGAAGGATAATGCGAGCAACAGACAGATAACTAGACAGCCATACAAAGGATGAGAGCCTTGAGTCGTGTTTACCAAGCCCTTCTCTTGTCTGGTTTGACGTGTGGAGGTGTAGATGGTGTACTGGAGGCTGGAGGGCTTGCTAGGACCACCGGCTGTCCCATTCTCAACAAATGCTTATGGAAGAATGTATACACTGAGAGAAGTATGGCCTCCAGGATTTCCCCCAGTGTGATCAGACTGGCGCCAATGAAGAATCCCATCTGGCCACCAAGAAAAGCTAAAATGTTGAAGAAAAAAAAAAGTTAGGTATAAGTTAGTGCTCTCCACCGGAATTTACAGCTGTGAACAGCCCGGCTCGCTAGCGTAGTTGGCTAAACCGGACTGCGCGGTGACCGGGTGACGAACCTCTTGTGGTCTGGGTTCACTCCCGGGGGTAGGCAGAAAAGCCACATTTCTCCCAGATTTAGGGTATTTATCATGGAATCAAGGCCGAAGGGTTGCGTTATCCATAATACTGAGCCTAAGGGTTAACAACTCGTGGCTTTTGGATACTTAAAAAAAAATCTGTGAACACGAAAGAAGAAAAAAAAGATGAGTGCCTTGTTTGAATACTCTCAAAACCATGTTGAACACACATGTTTAACTTCTATCTCCAAATCTCTAGACAGTTTGGGGGAAATCAGCATTAACAAGCAAACAAAAGTGGTTTTGATCATTATAATTATTATGGTTGTGTGAAATTTTATTTTGAATTGACTATATCCGTCCAGAGGGAAGTATATCCGTCCACATTCCTTGGTAGGTCTTTCAGCATTAGCAAGAACAAGCTTCCTGGACGGAACTTTGTGTGGCTTGTGTAAGAAGAGATTTCGTTACTTCTGCTGTTTGGTTCATCGCTTGTAGATCTTTGTCTTGCTAATCCTGTCTCGTTGCCTTGTTTTGTTTCTTCTTCTTCGTTTCTTCTTTTTCTTTGTTAACCAGCAGTAAGCTCCTGTGGAAAGTCCTGGTTGTTCGTCCATTTGCATTTAGACTTTGCCTTTGTGCCAGGGCCTGAGCTTTGCGTGTACATCCGTTTTACTGGCTTATTTGTGTGTAGGTTGTTCTTTGCCGCTCGAGCAGATGCCCTACTACCTCGAAGAAAGCTCCCAATTAGCCGACTCTTGCGACTCGCTTGCGGGGAGGGGGGGGGGTGGGGGGGGAGATTGGCAGCATTAGTTCAAAGTCATCCGGAGAGGTGAATGGACGCATGGATATCTGCACAATGAATCTCACGGACTCGGACTGCTAAAGAAGAAGAAGTATTTGAATTTTATCCAAAATTATAATTATAGTTAGTGGTTATTTGACGATTATCACGGAAGGAAATAAAGTTGGCAGTTGGCTTTGAAGCATTTAAGAAATGTGCAACTAAATGTCGTATTAGTTCTCGGCCACTTAACAAAAAGTCTATACTAACACAGGACTGTAGGTTACACCTAGCTGTAGTAGCAGTTACGATTGCTCTAGTTATAATTATCTTGCAGGTTGAACGGGGTATCTGGGGTCTGTCTTGTTGGTCTACCGTCCAGAATGGGATTTTTTTTTTAAATCTCGGAATAGTATGGTGACATTTTAAGTAGTAACCTGGAGACAACACGATCGATCGATCGATCACTTACCAAATATGGAACTGAAGTTGTACTGGCCCTCGTGTCTCTCGTGTCTCAGCATCATGGTGTCAAGGTAGACTCTGATCTCCAGGTAGTTATCTCTGCAGTAGTAACACGGACAGGTAAATGTGTACAGTTGAGTCGTACCTGTTTCTGGTTGTTTCTTGTGATGGAGATGTGGGGTGTGGAGGGGGGGGGGGGGGTGTGAGTGCGTGCTTGTGTCGAGGTAGACTCTGATCTCCAGGTAGTTATCTCTGCAGTAGTAACATGGACAGGTAAATGTGTACAGTTGAGTCGTACCTGTTTCTGGTTGTTTCTTGTGATGGAGATGTGGGGTGTGGGGGGGGGGGGAGTGTGAGTGCGTGCTTGTGTCGAGGTAGACTCTGATCTCCAGGTAGTTATCTCTGCAGTAGTAACACGGACAGGTAAATGTGTACAGTTGAGTCGTACCTGTTTCTGGTTGTTTCTTGTGATGGAGATGTGGGGTGGGGGGGGGGGAGTGTGAGTGCGTGCTTGTGTCGAGGTAGACTCGGATCTCTAGGTAGTTATCTCTGCAGTAGTAACACGGACAGGTAAATGTGTACAGTCGAGTCGTACCTGTTTCTGGTTGTTTCTTGTGATGGAGGTGTGGGGTGTGGGGTGTGGGGTGTGGGGGGGGGGAGTGTGAGTGCTTGCTTGTGTCGAGGTAGACTCAGATCTCCAGGTAGTTATCTCTGCAGTAGTAACATGGACAGGTAAATGTGGACAGTTGAGTCGTACCTGTTTCTGGTTGTTTTTTGTGATGGAGGTTTGGTGGGGGGGGGGGGGGAGGGTGTGCTTGTGTTGTGATTGTAGTAGTAACAATGGCAGAAGTAGTGACAATGCTTACACAAAAGTAATAGCAGTAGCAAAAGCTGCTGCAGCAACAGCAGCGCTAGTAGCAACAGCAGCAACAACAGCAGTAGAAGTACCCATAAAACAGATGCAACAGATGCTATCCTCTCAGGCAGGTATACGCCGACTTCGAAGAAAATACCCCTGTTACGACATGCTTAAAATATTGTAAAGGGACCTGTGGGGAAAAGAGGGGGGGGGGTGCCTTATAATTGCGTATAGGCTAAGCAATCCCTGCGGCCATATACAGAAATTCTATACACATATATATATTTATACATTTCATATTACTGCAGTAATCTTATAATTTTTATTCTATTTTGAGCACAGTATAGTTATTTATCTGTATGCTTTTATGCTCTTGTAAAAAAAAAAAAAAAAAGTAAAGGACCCTTTTCCACGCCTTTAGGTGTAGAGGGCATTTAGGGCTAGACTTAGCATCACACCGGCCGCTTTACTTTCCCGGGACTGCACCCGGTACCTACTCAAGGCTGGGTCGACCTGGGAGCCAAGGTCATTTTTGAGAAAAAAAGTCCGGCTCTGGCAGGGAGCGAATCCACGACCTTCCGATCACCGGCGAGCGTCTAACCACTCGGCCACAGGGACTCCCGTTATGCTGTTGAGGAACTAGAAAATGTCTTATGTATTGGTAGTGAACGGGCTGGTAGACACCTTCCTCCCTCTTCTCCCCATGTTTCCAAAGTGTCGGCATTCCTGATGACAATAGCCTCTAGCTGCCTAACCAACCGATGACGTTGTACACATGAAAAGTTTCACCCCCTTCCCTCTTATAAAAGGTGAATGCCATATAAAATGGCCCAGTCCGTCATTAGCGACAGTTGACAGCTGGTGAGAATCCTCCCATGTTCTCAGAGCCCTGGTTTGACCCCGATGCTACAACGCAATGACCCCTTATTCTTAGGCACTGTTCTCATCAAGCAAATCACGGTACCTCAGCTCTGCGGCGCTGGACACGTTGACCAGCTTGGTAAGGAAGTCTGCAGACACCCTGGAAGGAATCTGGGAAGCAGACAGCGTTGTGCTGTAATGGACAAAGGAGCATGGGCGCGGACAGTCGCAGTCTGCTGCGGTCAGGTTTTCTGGTGATGAAAAACAAAATAGTCAGTTCACGGCCGGATTACACTTCAACATGAAACGTAAAAGATTCAACTCTTCTTTGGAAAAGCAAAAAGGTTTTCTTCTTCTTCTTCTTTTTCTTCTTTTTCTTAGCGTTCACCGGCTGTAGACTCTGGTGGACATTTTTTTTAATGTTCGTCCACTTTTGGACTTTAGACTATTTCCAGAACTTGATTTGTGTGTGACTTTTTTGTACGAAGGTTGTTAGTTCCTTGCCTCTCAGGCAGATGTACTCTAAGTTTGAAAGAAACACCCAGAACAAGTCGCTTTTTATGACAAGCTTGTTAGAGGAAGAGTGGGTCTGTTGTAATCTTATCGTCCAAGAGTTAAAGTTTCTTCTAGTTTCTTCTAGTGGTCACAGGACAGGTGAAAAGTTCACACAGCGGCCACGGGTCGGGTCGTTACCTGGGATACCAGCTAATTGAATGCTGGGCGATTAACACAAAGGCTCCTGCAGAACACAAAGGATTCGGGAGTCAAGATATCTCCCTTGTCCGAGGAGACGTTCCTCTTTGTGAGGTTTGGATTAACCGTACTTACGGGAGACAGTTTAATGTCTATTTATTTCTTATAATGACAGGAGTCCATTGAGAAAAGAGTGTAATTCTTTTATATCCTCAGAGTAGATAATAGAGAGTTATTATCGTACGTTTTATTGAATAATCATCATCATCTTGTGACGTGTAACTTTAATGCCATTAAAGTTTATGTGGCCTGTCACAGGCGTTATTGTTGACTCGTAAAGATAACAACTGTATTAGATGATGATGGGCCAAATGTGCCAGTTATAGTAAGCAGGACTTCACTGTAGCACATCCATCAAGGAGATATCCAGCGGAATGTTGAATAGGCACCCTAGGCCTAAATACTTGGTTCTTGAAGATACAGTGTACTACAACAAAGAGTACAACACAAGTGTACAACAGGGTCTTTAAGCTTTTTCCTAAAATGGGGTCCAAGAACTCACACAAGAAAGCAAATACGCAAAAGTATGCCGTACCGGCACCTTCTTTTGGTGTAATTTTTGTCCAGCGCTAGTGTAGTCGACACTTTGTACCCATGGCAACACTAAATAAGACCAGAGATACAGATCCTTCTCTCCAGAGCACAAAGCCTGGGCATCACTGAGAGACCATGTGTTGCCAATGCAGCGTCCTTCTTCCCTCTGCCCGTTTTGTTAACCCCAAATCAAAGAGTCCATAAAACAGCGATCCCCCTTTCCAATGCCTTACTGGCTGTACTGTGCAAGAAATGCCTGGCAACCATTTGACCACGAGTTAATCTAGGAAATTAAAGTTGATGGGGATGGAAGGTATGTACTTGTTAGACAAATTTGTCTTCTTGATGTTACTGTGGGCGAACAATCAGACCAACGACCATACACTGTTTAGGTCAAGTCGGTGCACACTCAAACAGTTTCACGTTTCAGTATGTCCCGTTGATCATACATCAAGTCTGGGAGTATTGGGACTTTGACTGTCTCTTGACTCGGCTCTAGCAGAAACCTCCTCACTGCCATTACATCAGTCAGCGCAATATAGACTCGACAATACATTTCAGGCTTTGTATACATCATCAGCACTATCTAAATCTCTTCTTTTACCCCACCAGGACACTCGCCACGTTGGGGTTACCCTGACTACAATAGCACAGGGAAGTACATCGAAGATACTTGTGAAACAACTAACCTATTAGTGCTGCAGGACACAGAGTCTACACCTACACTGTTACACAGGGCCCACCTATCTCTCAGCAGACCAGACCTGACCATCTGCTCATCCGACTTAGCAGACGCAAGCTATCCCCAAGTCCTGGACGACATAGGAAGTGACCACAAACCTATACTCACAACTGTAAGCACCACCCCTAAATTACGCTTCAAGCAGAGAACCCGTTGGAATTTCCGAAAAGCAAACTGGAAACTATTTCAGGAAACATCTGACTGCCTCCTGGGAAGAATTGACAACAGCTGTGTGGAAACTTTTTGTGAAGACATAACACAAGCAATCCTGAATGCAGCGTCGAAAGCCATCCCAAGGGGCAGCCGGAAGGCATATAAACCTTTTTGGAATCAAGAAATTCAAAATACTATATCTGAAAGGAATAAAGCAAGAATATTTCTCGAAACTGCACGTTCAACAGAAGCAAAGATCCAATACAATAAAGCATGTGCCAGAGTAAAGCTTGTAGTTAATAAGGCTAAAAGAGATAAATGGACAGAAACTTGCTCCAACTTAGACCTTAGACAGAATGGAAATAAAGCATGGACTTTAGTTAAAAACCTCTCCGGAGAAAGTAGAAGGGTGAACCCAAAACCAGTGACAGATGGGAGTAAGACAATCACTGAAGACAAGAAGAAAGCAGAACATTTCAATCATTATTTTGCCTCAGTTAACAGAGCAGGTAAGCTGTCAGAACTCAATAGAACACAGCTCTCTCAGTTGAAGAAACAAGAGAGAGCTCCAACAGCCAGCGACTCCCTTTTTGAAAATGAATTTAGCATGGATGAACTAGAGCAAGCCCTGAAGAAATTAAAACCTAGAAAATCTCCAGGCCCAGATAAGATCCACAACGAAATGCTGCTACATCTTGGCCGGTCTGGGAGAGAAGTAGTTCTCAGGCTTATTAATAAAACTTGGAGGTCAAGCAAACTTCCAAGGGCATGGAGGAATGCATATATCGTCCTCATCCTTAAAACCAAAAAGCCTCCAGATGACCCCAAAAGCTACCGCCCGATATCCTTAACATCATTCTTGGGCAAAGTTGCAGAAAGAATGATAAACAGGCGCTTATATTGGTTCCTTGAGAGTTCTGGTGTTCTATGCCATGAACAGGCAGGCTTCAGAACCAACAGCTGCACAGAAGACCAGCTGTTCAGACTGACACAAAGAATACATGATGGCTTCCAGAATAAGAAACACACAGTGGCAGTCTTTGTCGATCTCCAGCAGGCCTATGACAGAGTATGGAGAAAAGGTCTCCTGATGAAGATGATGAGCATAGGAATACATGGCAGATTGTATAACTGGGTGAAATACTTCCTGATAGATAGAACAATCCAGACTAAGATGCACAACGCAATCTCTTCTAAAGAAGTCTTGGAGGAGGGCTTGCCACAAGGCTCATCATTGAGCTGTACACTATTCCTAATCTTTATCAATGACCTGCCAGAACAAATCAAGGCCGAAAAAGCCTTGTACGCTGATGACCTAGCAATATGGCAGAGTCATGAAAATGTGGAAAGTGGAGCCCAAAGACTGAATGGAGACCTTAGAAGACTGCATGATTACTGCCAAAGATGGAAACTCAAGATTAACTGTGCAAAGACGGTCTACACAATATTTACCAAAAGCCACCAAGTAGCAAGGAAGAATATTAACCTGAGGTTAGACAAACAACAAGTGATGAAAGAAGAGCATCCCACATACCTTGGAGTCACACTTGACCCGCAGCTCAGCCTCAAGAACCATATTGAAAACATCAGGAATAAGGCATTGAGGCGGTTACAGTTATTAAAGAGACTTGCAGGTACATCATGGGGATCAGACAAGGAAACTCTGAGGGGCTTATACCTAGGATATGTTCGCTCTGTGATAGAGTACAACAACTCACTGCTTACAACTTGTTCCAAAACTAACCTAGAGACTCTTGACAGAGTACAAAATAATGCCCTCCGATTAATCTGCGGAGCCATGCAGTCTACACCAACTGCTGCATGTGAAATCCATACAAATGTGGAACCCCTCGGGTTGCGGAGAGAAAAAGCCACTTTAGAAATTTATGAAAGATGCGTTAGGAAAAATCGTAACCATCCTAATAGACATCTTGTAGAAAACTGGGAACCCAAACAAAGAATAAAGCACAAATCGGTTTTACACTGTGTTAATGAAATTCAGGACAGATACCACCTCCCAGAAAGACGTCAAGGAATTCAGAATGTTGCAAAAAACCTACCACCACATGCTCGCTTTAAAGCTCCAGAAGTCCAAACTAAATTGGTAGGCGAGGAAACCAAACAGTCCGACCCAATCGCTCTTATGAACTCATCACTAAAGACCGTTGATTCTTACCCCAAGAATGGATACATGTCTATACTGATGGATCAGCATTTAAAGCTACCATTAAAGCAGGTTACGGAATCTACATAGGTTATCCCGATGGATCTGTTGAAGAGATTTTTGATGCATGCGGGGAATTCTGTTCAAACTATGAAGCTGAAATAATTGCACTGGAAACAGCAGTATACCACCTAAAGACTGTAATGGATGTTTACCCCTCAAAGGTCCAAAATATTGTCATCTTCACAGATTCAATGTCTGCCCTTCAAGCTCTGGAGGGCAATGAACGCTGTAGAACTGACATAGCCAAGATAATCCTGGATGCCGATCAGCTTATTACCTCATACAACATCAGAATAGTGATGCAGTGGATTCCAGGTCACTCCGGCACACCAGGTAATGACAGAGCTGACAGATTGGCAAAGAAAGGAGCAACACAAGAACAACCACCTACAGCGACAACCCTCCAGACAGCAAAAACACTGATAAGAGCTATAAACAAAGAGACTTGGTTGAACAGATGGGCCATGGGAGACACTGGAAGAGAGGTTTATAGACATATGTCTGGCCCTGATCCTAATGACAGCATTAACCATCTAACAAGAAGGGACCAGGCCACCATCTTCAGACTTAGAACGCAACATACTCCACTCAATGGACACCTAAACAGAATACAGCCACAACACTCCCCAGAGTGCCAGCTATGTAACTACCCCTACGAAACTGTTGAACACCATCTCTTTGAGTGCCCAAAACTCAGTGAGACAAGAAGAACGCTACTCCCTCTGAGACCAGACAAGTGGAACACCTTGTACGGAGGAAAAGAACAGCTTGTGAAAACATGCAAATTCCACTACATGGCATTGGGCCAAAGGGCGAAAGCTCATGCGCCGCTGGATCGATAACAACAACAACAACCCCACCAGGACATCACACAAACGATAAACACCCGATAAACATGCAGATGAGGATCACCCGTGAAGAGGTCCCGGAAACCGCGTTCAGCCATTAGACCATATTTATGGCTGGGTTATATTGCAGCCCCTGGCAAGAGCCAGAGTAGGGCTTGAAATAACTTGAAACTGCATCTGACATAGAGATGACAAGGTAACTGATCAGCACTATGACTGACTGACTGACTTTCTACCCCACCAGGACATCACATAAGCGATTTACACCCGATGACACAAAGTGCCACCATATGGATGAGGATCACCGTAGAGAGCTTCCAGCAACCGCGTTCAGCCATTAGGCCATATTTATGGCCGGGCTTTATTGCGGTCCCTGGCATGAGCCATAGTAGGGCTTCAAATAACGAAAAATTTCATCCTAAAAAGGACGGAAAGTTGGATAAAGCACTATGACTGACTTTCTACCTCACCAGGACATCACCCAAGCGATAAACACCCGATGACACAAAGTGCCACCATATGGATGAGGATCACCGTGGAGAGGTCCCAGAAACCGCGTTCAGCCATTAGGTCACATTTATTGCCAGGCTATACTGCGGCCCCTGACAAAAGCCAGAGTAGGGCTTCAAATAACGAAAAATTGCATCCTAAAAAGGACGGAAAGTTGGATAAAGCACTATGACGAATAATCAAATCTTCATCAGGAGTATTTATGTTTACTGTTTTTATTTATGAGAAGACATTATACATCTGTTTGACCTTTATTAAAACACACAGCATACGTCCTTTCTATGAGGTCAATTGAACCCTTTTTTAAAAAAACACTTTTTTATCACTGCTCCCGCTTTCCTTTACACTCCACTTCTATACTTAAAACTCGGTGTTCGAGAACAAATAGAGTTGACAATAGTTATTCTTACCTCCCCTTATCTCCTTGGTAAATATTAAACTATTGTTAAAATTATTCTCTGACTACATGCATACTTATTCGTGCTTAATATTATGTAAACATTATTCACTAATGTTTCATTATGTGTTGCATAAATACTATGATAGTCTATTCAAATATGAAGCAGCGCTGGGTATAGAACACACACACTCACACACACAAACGACAACATATGTAAATAGGTCAGAAAATAACACACACGCGTGACATGTAGACATGTTTACACTTGATTGTTTGTTTTTCAAACCCCACAGTGGTTACTTTATATTGAAACGATAATCGAATAACCATACAAGTGAAAATGCTTTTAGAAGGACAAATATATTTAAATCACAAGCTAACAGTTTTGGTTATGAACATGTAATAAGATCTAACAGTTTCTCAGAAACAATATTGCAGGGTCAGTAGAGGGAAAGGGGAGAAGAGGCAGACCAAGAAAGACCGGGTTGCAGAACCTGACTGACTGGACAGGCCTCAGACATGCAACCATCAAGTCCATCGCAACTGGCCGCCAAAGGTGGAGAGAGCTGATCAGACAGTCAACAGAAACAGGTGACCCAGCGACACGTATTGTTACTGGATGATGATGATAATGATGATGAACAGTTTTGACTGAATGAAACTGTATGTTACCTCTGACTCCCGCGAAACAGAAGAGATCTCCTACTGTGCATCTCCGTAGATTTGGCACATCTTGTGACAGAAAACAGAAAACTGGTTTGTTTTTGCATGAGCAGTATCAAACATAACAAATAAGTGTTGGTTTTAACATGATACATGCGTCGGCGTTTGTGGCTTAGGCCTTGAGAACGCTCTTTGCAATGCTGGGGTGCCGGGTTCGATCCCAGCTGTGGACCATTTGGCAGAAGTTCGTCTTGCGTTGGTTTCGACAGTGGTACCACGAGTTGACAGTTCAGTAAGCAATGGTGAATTCATCATCATCATCGTCTTGTGTGTGTCCTCAGACGTCACATAGGGCTCGCATTCAATTCCTTCACTCAGCTCTATTGCATGTCTTGATTTCTAACGTAGAGTTCAGCCCAGCGTTTGTTTGCTTCTCGTAATAATGTTCTTCCTAATATTTTCCTAGGACATTCCTTTTTTTTCAGACAGTTTGTCTCTCCTGTTAGTGCTTGTTTTATCATTCTTTGTTCATTTCGACTCGAGTGAGCCAAGTATATCTCCGCCTTCTTTGCCTCACTGATGACGATACAGGTATTTGTCCAGACATTTCTCAGATCTCATCTTTTTCTTCAGAGACTGAGTAAGAGACAATGACTGACACCCATAAGTTGCCACAGAACAGATGAATGATCAGACCCGTCTGAACGTAAGGGCACACTGGGCATTGGCCCAGTGTTCCGTGTTCTTTAACTTTCATTAAAATGACTACATCCTTGACTTAAGGGAGCTGTAAGGGTGTGCCTCACGGCTGAACATCTAAGAGTCGGCCTGAGATGCGGCATTTACTCCAGCCTAAAGTCGGCCCCAGCAGCATTCCAGCATATGTTCAATATTATTAAAAATATATTTTAGGGGTTATAGTGGCCAAGTAGACTGGTTTGCCCATGGGGCCCATGATGTAGGGGTTATAGTGCAGACTGGTTTGCCCAGGGTCCCATGATGTGGGGTAATAGTGTAGACTGGTTTGCCCATGGGTTCCATGATGTAGGGGTTATAGTGCAGATTGGTTTGCCCATAGGTCCCATGATGTAGGGGTTATAGTGCAGACTGGTTTGTCCATGGCCCCATGATGCAGGGGTTATAGTGCAGACTGGTCTGTCCAAGGGTCCCATGATGTAGGGGTTATAGTGCAGACTAGTTTGTCCATGGGTCCCATGATGTGGGGGTTATAGTGCAGACTGGTTTGTCCATGGGTCCCATGGTGTAGGGATTATAGTGCAGACTGGTTTGTCCATGGGCCCCATGATGTGGGGGTTATATTGCAGACTGGTTTGTCCATGGGCCCATGATGTAGGGGTTGCTGAGTTTAGTGTAGGCAGACTGGTTTGCCATGGGTCCCCATGATGTAGCTATCGTGCAGACTGTTTTATAGTGCAGACTGGTTTGTCCATGGGCCCATGATGTAGGGGTTATAGTGCAGACTGGTTTGTCCATGGGCCCATGATGTAGGGGTTATAGTGCAGACTGGTTTGTCCATGGGCCCATGATGTAGGGGTTATAGTGCAGACTGGTTTGCCCATGGACTCATGATGTAGGGGTTATAGTAGCCAAGTAGACTGGTTTGTCCATGGGTCCCATGATGTAGGGGTTATAGTGCTGACTAGTTTGTCTATGGGCCCATGATGTAGGGGTTATAGTGGCCAAGTAGACTGGTTTGTCCATGGGCCCATGATGTAGGGGTTATAGTGGCTAAGCAGACTGGTTTGTCAATGGGCCCATGATATAGGGGTTATAGTGGCTAAGCAGACTGGTTTGCCCATGGGCTCATGATGTAGGGGTAATAGGGCAGACTGGTTTGTCTATGGGCCCATGATGTAGGGGTTATAGTGCAGACTGGTTTGCCAATGGGCCCATGATGTAGGGGTTATAGTGCATACTGGTTTGCCCGGGGGCCATGATGTAGGGTTTATAGTGACCAAGTAGAATGGTTTAGCCAGGGACCTATGATGTAGGGGTTTTAGTGACCAAATAGACTGGTTTCCCCGAGGGCTTATGATGCAGGATTTTAGTGACCAAGTAGACTGGTTTACCCAGGGGCCCATGATGCTGTTACGACTTTCTGCATGATCTCACAATTGATACTTCAACAGGTGCTGTGCCGTAAGTTATGGGGCACCGTATGTAGGCAACCCACAACTCTTGAGGACCATGGCGTTGTGCAGCTGGTTCTGCAAACAGAGTCTGCTATGACCGTAAAGTTCAGTGCTGGAGTGACAGTCCCTGCCACACAGTCCAAACAAAAACGTTGCTACTCTATCATTCTGAGGCTGGTTCTCTCGGCGACAACCGTCCTTCACTGTCTGCCTCCAATAGAGTCGGCCTGCAGCTGATCTCTCCCAAGTGTGTCAATGACGGCGTATTAGGGACATTATTTCTAAAAGATCCCATACATATAGACTCAGCTGCTTTTTTTTTTATAAACTCCTTACCTGCACAGGACTGCAGGTTTCACCAGTTTAGTACTACTTGCTGACGTTACAGTTGCCATAGTTACAATATTACAAGAGGTTCTGAGGGATATCTGAGATTTTCCCTGTTGGACTGCCAATTAGGATACCATTGTTTGTTACAGGGATAGTCACACCATGCAACATAACGCTGGGGGAAAACACTGGCAATGTGTCTGTTTGTCAGTCCATATCTTGTCTTTATAACCTGAAGACATGCCTGGTAGGATGAACTGTTCTTTGTTTCCTTTGCGAGCCTCTTGAACAGGCGTCCATTGTGGAGGTAAACAAACAGTACTCACAGTTACCTAACATGTTTGTGGTAACAGGCTAATAAGAAGGGTTGATATGAGTTTGTTGAGGACCTCTGCTCCAATCGGAGATAAGCAATAGAAGAAGAAAAGGAGACAGGAGAATGAGGAAAAGGAGGAAGAGAAAGAGAAGAAGAGGGAGAGGAGAAGGAAGAAGAAGAAGAAGAAGAAGAAGAAGAAGAAGAAGAAGAAGAAGAAGAAGAAGAAGAAGAAGAATAGAAAAGAAGAAGAAGAAGAAGAAGAAGAAGAGAAGCAAGAAGCACAAGAAGAAAAAAGAAGAAGAAGAAGAAGAAGAAGAAGAGAAGAAGAGAGAAGAAAAAAGAAAAAAAAAAGAACAAGAACAAGAGTGAGAAGAAGAAGAAGAAGAAGAAGAAGAAGAAGAAGAAGAAGAAGAAGAAGAAGAAGAAGAAGAAGAAGAAGAAGAAGAAGAAGAAGTAGAAGTAAAAGAAGAAGAAGAAGAAGAAGAAGAAGAAGAAGAGGAAAAAGAAGGATAAGGAAGAAGAGGATGAGAAGAACAAGGAGGAAATAAATGTCTGAAGCAGAATGAGCAGACCTTATCGTTAGCGTATATTTATTGAGTAAGAGAGATGGGCTCAACAGGAACTTACACAGTAAATGAGAGTAGCAGGAACAAGCTAGAGACGCCGTGTAGCTGTGGCACTGCTCCATACAGTTGTCGTAGCTGTAGAAGGAGCCGTTGACCATCTTGTGGCGCAGGTCCTGGGAGTCAGTGTCTAGGCAGGGGACGTCACCGTACGACTTGTAGGGAGCTGGTAGGAAGGTGTACTGGCGGGACGGGGGAGGTTGTAGCAACAACTCTGTCAGTATAGGCTGGCTGATGTAACGTGATAAGCTGACAGAAAAACATACACACACATACGCATACGTATGCCTTTTTATGGATAGACAAATATATTCGCACGGACAGAGAGAGACCATCATATGGACGCGTATATAGACAGTCAAATAAACAGACAAACACATATTCAAAACCGACAGTCCAGAAAACAGACAAATGGACAGACAGACGGGGAGGGGTAAGGGAGGAAGGGGGGAGGGAATAGCAGGTAAACGTAAATTCACACAGACAAACCGAAACAGCTTCACAAAAAGCAAATTGTATCATCAGGAGGGCCTGGCACGAAAACTAATTGGAGTCATCAAATAAAATTAGTGCAGCATATGTCCATCGTGCAGACCGCAAGTGTGCTTGCAAAAGACCACATATGTCCCTAGTGCAGACCGCAAGTGTGCTTGTAAAAGACCACATATGGCCTCAGACAGACCGCAAGTGTGCTTGTAAAAGACCACATATGGCCCTCAGGCAGACCGCAAGAGTGCTTGCAAAAGACCACATATGGCCCTCAGGCAGACCGCAAGAGTGCCTGCAAAAGACCACATATAGCCCTCAGGCAGACCGCAAGTGTGCTTGCAAAAGACCACATATGGCCCTCAGGCAGCCAGTTTGATATGCCTGAAATAGGCTTCTAAGTCGACCCAGTCTAAAACAGGTACTGAGCATTACCGACCACAAGCTAATCGATTGTCAGTCAGTATAAACTGATAACACTAGCACTATACTAACTGCTAGGACAGTTCGCGTGGAAAGGATGCTTTACTTAAATAACGCCTGCTATGGAAGTAAATAGTGAGTCAACAGACAGAAAGAAAAAAAAAAGTTTAATACACAGCCTGTGGCATACTGACTGACGCAATGGCAGGGCATTTTTTTTTAAATTTTTAATAGCACATAGAGCAGATAAGCCGAGATAACATAACGGAAAACATTTGATGTTACTTTGACTGAGTTATTATAGTTATATAAAAAAAACTAAAAAAAAAACTGGGTAATTTTGCTCTTCAGCCTGATGAGCTGAGTGGAAATTGTAGAATGAAAGGAAAGATACTGATCTACAGCAGGGGGTAAATTGGCTGAGCAAACGGAAATAAATAAACAGTACACACGGAAATATTCTGATCAACAGTCTGAGATAAACTAGAAGAAACATGAGACAGAATGAAAATAGTTTGCTCTACAGCTTAGGGTCCCATGTCAACCTAACCTTAAACAGGTATCAGTGAAAGTCCTGGGAAGTAAAGCCGGCTGGCGTGGTGTTGCCCACATCACTCACCGACTGCTGGTTGATCTATAAAATAAATGTCTAACCTTATATGCCCAGAAAACTTGAAGTCGTGGAAAAGGGTCCTTGACTATTGACCCACAAAACGACTAAGTCGTGGAAAAGGGTCCTTTTAGCTGGGTCGATCTGCAGATGTTTAAAAAATATAATAAAACAGACAACAGGATCTTACTTTGACTGGAGTCAACGCCAGCCTGGTGGATGTCCCTGGGTGGATGTCGATGCCATCCTGGCGCAGTCTGGGTGTATCGGGGTGGTGGGCCACAAACATCTACAAATTGACAAGTTTAAATGTCGAGTACACAATTATCCCGTCAAGATTTGATATATTATGCATGTAACATATACTTCATTTTATTATGAAGCAAGTCGATTATGTGGTTTATATGTATGGATACATACAAGATGGAAAGATAACATCATAGAAACAACAATACCCATATGTGCTTATGGTCAGGGCAGCCAGAAGGTCAAGAAATGAAACTTTCTATCTGTCAAGACACCGAAGTGGTAACAGAGAAGTGAAGAAGAAGTGATCCTATACACACCCCCCCCCCCCCCCCCCAACCAATCCTTTTCGGTGTGCTGAGGCAACGGAGGGATGATTATTTCGTCGGTCAAATTTCAGGCACGACCGGCTCCAGCTGACAGGTCCTGCTTCTGACGTCATCGAGTCGGGCTAACGATGCGTGAACCTCAGTTGTTCTCAAACTGGGTGCCAAGGCCCCCTGGGGTGCCGTGAGCGTATGCCAGGGGTGCCGTGAGCGGATGCCAGGGGTGCCTTGAGCGGATGCCAGGGGTGCCGTGTGCGGATGCCAGGGGTGCCGTGAGCGGATGCCAGGGGTGCCGAGAGCGGATGCCAGGTGTGCTGTAAGCGGATACCAGGGGTGCCAAGAGCGGATGCCAGGGGTGCCGTGAGCGGATGCCAGGGGTGCCGTAAGCGGATGCCAGGAGTACCGTAAGCGGATGCCAGGGGTGCTGTGAGCGGAAGCCGGGGGTGCCGTGAGCGGATGCCTGGGGTGCCGTGAGCGGATGCCAGGTGTGCCGTGAGCGTATGCCAGGGGTGCCGTGAGCGGATGCCAGGTGTGCTGTGAGCGGATGCCTGGGGTGTCGTGAGCGGATGCCAGGGGTGCCGTGAGCGGATGCCTGGTGTGCCGTGAGCGGATGCCTGGTGTGCCGTGAGCGGATGCCTGGGGTGCCGTGAGCGGATGCTAGGGGTGCCGTGAGCGGATGCCAGGGGTGCCGTGAGCGGATGCAAGGGGTGCCGTGAGCGGATGCCAGGGGTGCTGTGAGCGGATGCCAAGTGTTCAGTGAGCGGATGCTAGGTGTGCTGTGAGAGGATGCCAGGTGTGCTGTGAACGGATGCCAGGTGTGCTGTGAGCGGATGCCAGGTGTGCTGTGAGCGGATGCCAGGTGTGCTGTGAGCGGATGCCAGGTGTGCTGTGAGCGGATGCCTGGGGTGCCGTTAGCGGATGCCAGGGGTGCTGTGAGCGGATGCCAGGTGTGCTGTGAGCGGATGTCAAGGGTGCTGTGAGCGGATGCCTGGGGTGCCGTGAACGGATGCCATGTGTGCCGGGGCAATGATCAAGAAAAGTCGGCCTAAAATTGAAAAATGATTACTAAGTTGGCATCTAGATACATAAAAGTTAACATTTAAGTTGTCTTCCCTAGCCACTGTCGAAAATAGTTTCTTTTGTGTTTGAGAACGGAAGAGCTAACTCATCGTTATCAGGACTCTGTAACGTCAGCAGCAGGGCCCGTCAGCTGAAGTCGGTCCTGTTTCAGGGATGGTCGCATGAACATGGAGGGGAGGGGAGGAGGGCATAAAAGACTCAGGCGCAGTTAAGGGCATTTGCCAAACACATACTACAACGGTGGAGACAAAAGTGAAGTAGAGGACGGGATAATACAATTTTCATTAACTATGTGGGGCGAAGCCGGGTTTATAAATCTAATATATATAAAAGCAACCGTTAGCTGATCCCTCCCAACATGTCTGTGTCAATCTTGGTATCTTTCAGGTCACGTTGAGTTTCTTTATAGCGTGGCTTTTGCTCTCTTGTAATCTTTTCCCTGTTTCCTGTTCACCATTCAGCAGATCCTATGGAATCTCATTCACTAAATGAAACTGCTATAAAATAGTTCAGAAAACAATATGAAATCACCAGAACTCACAGCTTACCCTAATCCCGGCTGTGAGATCGTCAAAGATGAAATACTGATCCTGAAAGAGATGTACGTACAGCCGCAGTCCTGACTCTCGACCCACCAGTTTGGTCAGCCTCGGCCCGTTCTTGCTGATGTACTCTGGGCCGTTAAACGTAAAACAGCGGCCCAATGATGTTTCCGTGCTCTGTGTATATGAAAGATTTCACACTGGCAATAGTTCAAAATACAAAATATCTGATTGTTTATTCTCTGCTTACACACATGGATACCTCATTGTCAATTCTCTGCTTTACATAAAAATACCTGTTTGTTCTCTGCTTACATACAAGATACCTCATTGTCAATTCTCTGCTTTACATAATGATACCTGTTTGTCTGTTCTCTGCTTACATACCAGATACCTCATTGTCAATTCTCTGCTTTACATAATGATACCTGTTTGTCTGTTCTCTGCTTACATACAAGATACCTCAATGTCCATTCTCTGCTTTACATAATGATACCTGTTTGTCTGTTCTCTGCTTACATACAAGATACCTCATTGTCAATTTTCTGCTTTACATAATGATACCTGTTTGTCTGTTCTCTGCTTACATACAAGATAACTCATTGTCAATTCTTTGCTTTACATAATGATACCTGTTTGTCTGTTCTCTGTTTACACACAGGATACCTCATTGTCAAGTCTCTGCTTTACATAATGATACCTGTTTGTTCTCTGCTTACATACAGGATACCTCATACTCATTGTCAATTCTCTGCTTTACATAATGATAACTGTTTGTCTGTTCTCTGCTTACATAAAAGATACCTCAATGTCAATTCTCTGCTTTACATAAATGATACCTGTTTGTCTGTTCTCTGCTTTCACAGAAGATATCTTATTGTCAATTCACCGCTTACATAAATGATAGTTCACTAGTCGTTGTTCGGTCACAATATGAGAGGACAGCAAATGGAACATACCGCGACAGCTAGAAATATGGGCCGACAGAGAGACAGGGAGAGAGACAGCGAGGAAAGCTTCCTGAGTTCTCGTAAAGACACAGAAAGGTATCATCGGCACACGAATTGTGTACTCTTAGAGATTTGCAAGATACTGAGTAATATAATCGTCCACCCCAGTCGGCACACTGTGTGTATGCGCGCGTGTGTGTGTGTGTGTGGTGTGCAATATAGCGTTAGCAGCATCCCTCAGACATTCAATAAATAATCAGAATGTGACCACACACATGATAACACCCACACAACAGCTGCCCACACACGGCAAGACTCTCTTCTGACCATAAATGATCAGAAACGTGATCAAATCTTTGCATGTGGGAAATCAATAACTTCATAGAATATAGTCATTGAATTTTTTAAAAATAGGAATGACACGGTTTTTTAAAATATATGTGTGTGAGTGTATGTGTGTGTTCGCGCGCGTACATATATACAGTAGGACCTCGATTGTCCGGACTCCGTATTATCTTGTCTAGTTTTAAGAAAATTAGGTTTTGGCTTCTTTATCTCAGATTTAAATAATGTTTGTCTACGTTTTTACGTGACTGTTTTGTTCGTTTTAAATGTGTATATATTTATACTGTACGGTGTACATGATTTTTTTTCCTTGCACTTATCAGTTTCATTTTCAAATGTGATTACTTTTTTTTTTAAATTACTTTTTTTCTGTAAGATATTTTTAAAACGTTCACTACAATAAATGAGCAATATGTATAAAATACTGGCATGTACTGAGGTCAGAAAATATTAATAAAAGCCAGTTTTGTTTTTTATTTGTGTACGAAAAAGGTGTTCTACTGGTGAGTTAGAAAGTGAGTTTTTATAGAACTCTGGCATATCCGGTTTTATGTTTGTGTTTGGTCTACTTTTCTGCAGGATTAGGCAGGATGTTGTAGAGTCTACTTTGTGTGTTATCTATCAAGTCTATAAAGTATTGGTCTAGCCCTATATGCCCAATACGCTTAAAGGCGTGGGAAAGAGTCTTTTGTATAATACATTAGGACTCAGCTGCTTCGCCACAGATTCTAAAGAAGTCAGCAAATCAAAATAGGTGGCCACTACTGTCCTAATATTTTCTGACAAACGGTATTAGGGTTGTTGTCAACAAAATACTCGAAGCCGCCATGATGTAGTGGCTAGACGCGCCACTGTGGATCGGAAAGTCGTGGTTTTGGGTGATGACAGGACTAGGGGTTGTTTTTTTTAAAAATGATTTTGGCTCTCATGTCGACCCAGCCTTGAGTGGGCACCAGGTACAGCCCTTCGAAGTAAAGGCAGCCGGCCTGAGGCTTACCACATCACACTGTGCCGATTTGTCTATAACAAATTATAGGTCTAGCCCTATATGCCCAATAGCCTGAAAGCGTGGAATAGCGGGGTTCAACTCTATATATATATATATATATATATATATTATATATATATATATATATATATATATATATATATATATACTATATGTACTATATATATATATATATATACTTATTTGCTATTTACAGAATGACAGCTTCAGGGGGAAAACCACCACAAGATAAATATGTACCTCAAATGCCTCGGAAATATTCAAGTCTTCATTTTCAAATTTGGCGCTAAAAAATAGTTCCTCTGCCGTGAACGCATACTTCTGCTGTACGTCAATGATGTCCGACTGGAAGAGTTCCTGCAAATCCGGGCTGAAAGATTGAGAATGTAGTAACATTTTATCAGAACTATTAGGTCTTAGTGTGTCTTGTTTAGTGTATCTGTCTGTTTTAGTGTGTCTGTCTGTTTTAGTGTGTCTGTCTGTTTTAGTGTGTCTGTCTGTTTTAGTGTGTCTGTCTGTCTTCTGGCTGCTGTTTGATAATTTGAATATCTAAGAGGTGCATCTTAGATGGGAAACCAAAATGACAAACTCCTAAAATGTTCGATACTAAACGATAGTTGCACATACAAGACTCTGCAGAGCCAACACCAGCATTTGTTGGTGCATGACTTTTGGGGTAAGGAGGAAAAAAGAGGGCGCTGGGGATATAATTTGATGTAATGTAAATGACTTGTAGAACCCGTGATTAAGGAAGCAAGGGCAAATCTAATATTTTACTAACATTTATAATTCCTTATTTGATTCAAATTGTATGTGTGTCTATACGTATATTTCTGTGTGTGTGAGTGTGAAGACTTAGGAATACCTGCGTGAGTGAATACCTGCCTCTTCATTCAACAAGTGTTCTTTAGCTTTGTTCGAGTCGAGATTCGACTGGCGTGAATATAAGAAATAATGAACAGTAATACTGTCGTGGAACAGGTTCCTTTTACACTCACTAAAGTATTGTTATCTTGTTAGAAACCGAGACAACTGTCTTTTGGCGCAAAGAGCAGACAGTGTCCCTGGATACTCAGATACAGACTCGAATTGGCTCGCTAAAGAAGGTGAGCTGCCTGAATATCCCCAGAAAAGGGATAAGGGAATTTAGATGCCTAACCACTTAGACAGAGCAGATTACCCCTCCCGACAATTTCCCTTTCTGGTCATTAAATTAAGCCCCCATCTAGAATATGTATATTGGTAGACAGCACTGACACCATACATACATCTAGAAATACAATTAAACTTTAACTATGAATTTAAATCAATCATAGGAATGTTTATTAAAATTAAAGTAAAAATCAATCATCTATTTACTTTTGAAAATACAATATTCAAACTAAGTAGGATGAAAGATAAAAATGATAGTAACATGAAACTGTCGTCATGAGAGGATCAGTGGGAAATAACATACAACAATTACCACCTGGAGTTTCCCAGAGGATCATCCATTTCAAAGACTGAGGTGGAATGTCGGATCTGTCTCAAGCACCAAGATCTTCCTTAGGGCACTTTAATCAGCTACGACCAGCCTGGCAGTGGTTTGGAAGCTCGTCCTGCCACAAGGAACAAGGAATCTGTCCTCGGCTTTTCAGCAGCTAGGGATGGAAACAATCAAAAAATATATAGTCCCTGCTGTTTTGCAAAATAAAATATATTCCCCACTCTCCCCTCTCTCTTCATATTGTCAGAAGTGGGATAATGGTCTAGTAGCATTGTCATTTACATAGCTTCCACTTCTGACTACTGTCCAGTCCTGATGAATGTCTTCCATCTTCTGTCCTTCAGGATGATAGTCTAATACCACTCATTTACACAGACTCAGACAGCAATATGCAGTTATAAATGCAACACAAAATCAGACAGAATGCTATAGAATTCTCTCTATAAATATTGAGAATTCTAGATAAAAGGGCTTGCCTTTCCTGTCTTCCAGATATTCCACTGGGTGTTTTCTTGGACAGCATGTCCTCAAAATCACAGCATTTAATACTGCTGTGTATAAGTAAAATTATACATTAATAACATCATGAATAATACATCAATAACCTGAAAACAAAATTCAGCACTTCTACAACAAGCAAACATTATGAATTATAGAAGTATGGGCATGAGAAGAACAATGTCTCCTATGAAATGTTACCATTGAAATGTTACCATTATCTACACAAACTCTAATAACCAGCCATAGATCATTCATCTACCAGCAATAGAAGATAGATAATTTCCTAAGAGTCTTAGATACAGCAAACAGAAGTAACCTCCTAGATACCGAACAATAGGAATCAGGAATAGATCATAAAGAAATGGTTTTCCTGCCCATGTGCAGAAATGGGTCAGCGTGTGGTTTTTCCTCTGTCTGGTACAATTCTAATATTGTACACGAAATGCGGCCCGAAAACTGAAATCACGATTTAATTAACAGTTACTGTGCTCACACCGGATTTAGATGTAACTATATGGTCATGCTGCTAGGGTTTTTTTTAGGCGGCGGGAAAGACAAAGTTCTGCCAAAACGGCCCGCTCTAACTCCTGCTAGCTGCCCTGAAGTAAAAAAATGGCTGGCCGTCTGCTCTCACAGCGGGATCCGGTGTTTGGCCAGGATTTTCCCGCTACGTTGCCGAGTTTGCTAGCCGTATATTTTTATACGTGAAAGCTCAGGGGAATTACAAATAGGACAATGGAAAATCCCCAAACAGCAACCGTAGGCTATAACCGGGATATCTCTCAATGCGTCTTATGACGAAAATGAAGTCACTGGGCGCATGTAAGAGAGAAAATAGAAGGGTCACAAAGGGGTGGTACGTCAGCCAAAAGTATCTTGTCTACTTGAAGCGGCGTCTCGCGACAAATACAAAATGGACAAACCATGGATTTTTTTCTTTGGCAATGGAAAATGTAAGCTGTGGTTACAGCCGTTTCATCCACGTCTATTCATTGGCATTATGCAGTATACATGAAGGCGACTGTGGTGTTCACACCACACAAGTCAGTGTCATTATGCACCATACTTGGAAGCGTTAGTGGTATTCACACACAACTCGGTGTTTTTGTGCACCATACTTGGAAGCGGTAGTGGTGTTCACACACACACCTCAGTGTCATTGTGCACCATATTTGGAGGCGGTAGCGGTGTTCACACTCAAGAAGTCGACTAATTCGGAGCATGTTTCGAAGTACAACTGCCTGAGGTAAGAAACTAAAAGTCTGCATACAAATACAGTGTGAAACAGATATGCAAGCAACACTCAGATTCTGGAGCAGGACTTGTCCAGAGGTGGACGAACACCCAAAACTTTCCGCCAGAGCTTACGCAGTAAACACGAAAAAGAAAATGACAATATAAAAATCAAAAGCCATGATTACCAGATCTGTGATCTCTAAATTTCGACAGCCACAATGATGGCCATAATAATAAAAATTATTACCATCTAGAAAGCAAATTAAAATAAGAATTTTTTCAAACGAATAGACAACCGAACATACAACAAATACACAAACAACTTTACAACATATCTTGCCTATTTCCATAATTTACAAGAGGTACATGATTGGTTCGTTTGTTCACTCATTAGAGATGTGGAAAAGGAAGGGCGCAGGGGTGAAAAGGGGGGGGGGGGCATGGAAGCACTCGGAAACTCTAGTGAGATCGTTCGAAGGGAAGAGGCAGGTATTCAATAAATCTATGGTGACGTCAATGCAACAACATGGAGAAACTGTCACGTTCGAAAGCTACCAGTTGCTAGTGCTGTACTACTATCCTGATGTTTAGATTAGATTTAGGTTTAGGCGACGGATCAACATCATGGCTTAAGGGGTAACCCATAAGTGCGCAATTCTACTCCTGACTCAAGCCTGAGTACAAACAATCTCATCGCAGTGCACGAGCTCTGTAGCACCGGCGAGGATCCTGAAATACTTTGGATAGATTTTTAACTCAAAATTTTACCTGGGCAGCGCTGTTCGGCTACTTTTTTTTTCAATTTCCAACTACCAAGGGATATTTTTACGTGCGCAACAATACACACGGTTGTCCGATATGGCTACTCAGCAACCTGGGAAAATTACTTGAAATTCACGGGGAAAAAATCCCAGCCTTCACCGCATCCTGAACCAGGGACCTCCAGCACCCGAGGCGGACGCCCTGCCCCGAGACTGTCCCCCCCCCCCCCCCCCCACCCAAGTATCTTGATATGCACGCATACTCTCAACAGCGAAGCCACTGTGAAAATATCACGTGATACTCCCTGCAGAGTAATCGTTACCTGCTAACGCGTACACAGACCTCGCGGTTGGATAACGATGACATGACGAGTAAATGAACTCAACCGTGTTGTACTTACTCTGACAGATTGAGAAGCAAGACGGACTCCAGGAAGATGCCCCGAGTGGCCAGGAGCTTGAAGATGGGCGTGTCCGTGGTGCCGTCGACGTTCTTGAAGGGGCACGTGTTGCAGAGCGTCACGGAGGGGAAGACGCTCCATTCGTTGATCTTGATGTCAGTCTTGGTGACAGTGTTGTACTGGTAGTACTCGGTCAGCAGCATCGCCACTGTGTACAACATACCAGCAGACATGCCGGACACTAGCAGAAACCATAGTAACCTGCCGGAAGTTGTCACGTTAGGGTCAGGAACTTGTCGAGTTTATCCAGATATTCTCATTTATCAATCATCTTTTTTCTTCTTCTTCAAGTTTACCGGTGTAAACTCCGCCGGAAAGTTCTGGTAGCTCGTCCACTTCTAGACTTTAGTTTTAGTTCAGAACTTGAGTTTTGGGTGCATATCAGTTTTACGGATATGGCTTACATGTAAGCAGACTGGTGGTTCCTCGCCTCTCAGGCAGATGCACTACGGCTTGGAAAAAACAACAACCCTCATTAGTTAGTTTTTACGACATGCTTGTTCTGCGCCCCTTCCCCAGGACCCCAGAACCCACACCTGGATCACTTATTCATGAGGGGCTATCACGCTGGGTTCCTGCCCCATGTCAGGTTTGTAGGGTCTAGTCATTTAGAAATCATTTTTTTTTTTAAAGTAGTCACTGAAAATGTTTCTTTGTATTCATAAGTCTTGTCATTTGTATCTTCTATCAAACTCATTTTTTTCATAAAATTTCGCCAAAGGACGTGGTTCATTCTGTTTTTGAATCTTGTCAAGTTTATCAAGGATAATAACGTATTAATAATTTAATGTATGTAGTTGTTGTAAGTGGCATATTTTTGCTGTTGTTCGGACAGAGTCGTTTATTTGTTCTTTAATGTGCAGAAAATAAACCCAGACAATGAGTAGAGAACGGTCAAAAAAATTATCTAACATAGAAATGAGCTGTATCTGAAAGGTCACTTACAACACA